AATATGATATTTTGCGAAATGTAAACGAATGTTAGAGATGCGAGTGTATGTTGCAGCTGACTCGTAAATGCTAGTGTCAATGTCTGTTCGTTAGAATATGCTCTTGGACCGTTTGTGTTATTTTTATCATGTATAAGATATAGTCTTCACTGGTTTCTTTGGTCAAAACCAATATTCTTATCGTATAGACTGTTCTCTCTACTCGTCATGAGGAAATGTTGTCATTTTGTATTCAAGGTGAAACTATCTTCCTCTCGTTTTGAGTCGGCTATGAGTCGAATGCCCGTTTTGGTTTGAAATGTGTATTTTTCTTGTTTATATTTGTATATGTGTAGTGCATCTAAAGGAGGCTTGTGTCGAATTTATGTATTGCTTTCCTTGTTAGTATTCGAAGAGAGCGTATAGAGGGAAAGATCCATCGTTTCCTTTTCCTTTTATTTAATTATGTTACTGCAAAATACGAGGATGATTGACTAGACATCAATGTTAGCACTATCATAGACTTGCTCCTCAAAGGAGAAATTATGGCATAAAATTGCATTTAAACTTCCGTAGCAGTAGGAGTCTATTTAAACTTTGGCTTATCGCATGTTGGCTGCCACAGTATAGTTTTCTTGCTTGATTTTCTTTTCAATTAGTATGCAATATTCTTGTCAAGACACGAGTGTGTAGACCCGTTTTGTTATTTCTTTATATGATGGATCGCTTGAATATGGTGCCTGTGAATAAGTATGATTTCTTCTGCATTCATGTCTTTCTGAGTTATTCAAGAAAGTGGACTTCTAGCTTAGTTGTTTGGTTTTGTTTAAATTCTTATTCACTTAAAAATTATGATGCTCCAATGTATATACAAAGAATGGCTTGAGTTTTTTTTTAGTCTTTATGATTTTGAATTATGATAATTGCCATTTTTTTTAGCTGGATTTATGTATGTGCAGTTTGCATGAGTGTTAAATGTCACCCTTTCAGTTTTTACTTCAACAATTTTTGTGCTAAAGTTCCTTCTTCCCATTTTTTTGCATGTGAAAATTCCTCGCGAGTCCACTTTGGGACTCCATTCTCCTCCTTGCATTTCCGGAGAGTCATGAAGGCTCAGAAATTTTATCGAGTCAGTCCATCAAGACAGGTGTACAAGTTCGAAATTGTGGGAAGATTGAAGAAAAATCCAAAAACGGATTAGAAGACTTTTCTTTATTTTTATTCCTTTGTATTTATTTGTAATGGGCATAAAACTAAATCTTAAAACAATAAACATTTCAAAATTCGTAAAGCTTGTCTAGATAAAAACCTTAAGAAGTTTAACTTCAAAACACATTCGCTAAATTTTAAAATAAACATAGTCAAATTGTTAATCGCCGAAAAACCGTATTAAGCGGAGCGGCTTAGGTGCTTTCAAAACCTTCCTAAGATGCTAATAGGAATCCCGAACCCTTAAAAGGTTTTCAAACGATTTTCCGTTTTAAATTATTTGGAAACGAGTTTTCTTAATTTTTCTTAAAAAATTAAGTGGCGACTCCTAAAATGTCGATAATATCTTTAAAATAAAACAAACTCTTTTCGAATTCTTTTTTCGATAAAACAAAATGACGACTCTGCTGGGGACGAGGAAGATTCTAACCCTAAGATTAACTTATTTGACTATTTGCAATAACTGTTTACTTGCTTAGTTGTTCTAGTTTTCGAAATGTTGCATTTCATTGCATATTTCCGCCAAACAGCAAAAAGTTTGCATTAGGAAACGGAAGTTACGCGTCTTACTGCGAATTTCTTCAGATATACCCAACAAATCATTTTGGAGTATCAAACAAATAGTTGGAATGCGGTCATCCGGTGTTATTTGATAGCTCCACCCTGATGTTTGTCCGACTCAGGTAACCGTCAATTTGAAAATAATTCTAGAAAGCCTAAGATAGAGCGAAACCAAAACCGAAATAAGCATCAGCCTAAGACGGCTTAATACCCAAGGCGTATTAAGTCCATTTTAGTAGAAAAACCGCCAAAATCGCGTCTAAGGTCTTCGACCTCACGACGCATCATATTGTTTGACATTCGAATAAATATATGTGTGAAAACTAACTTGGGGGTAGGGAAAATCTAACGGGTTTCTATTTTACAGATATGGACCACTTTCCTAAGTTCGATATGGTCCTCTCAGCACCACCTCAGCTTACAATGTGGCACAATGATTTGGACGGGGACCATAGGCGAACCCTTAACAAGTATGTAGGTGCCTTAATCGAGCTGATCAACATGAATGGTTGGCCAGAACTAATCGAGGTGCTTACAGGGTATTGGGACAGTCAGATGATGGTCTTTTGTTTCGGAACAGCCGAAATTACCCCGACGCTGGAAGAGATAAGGGATTGTATAGACACCGTGGGCACTGGGATAGAGAGGAGAGCCCGAAAACAAGAGGATATTTTCATCCCCAACAAACCTTCCGTAGAGAATATGCGGATTGGTTTGGACTAATAAAAGACTTCACTTATTGGTGTCAGGATTCCCACATGATGTTCAGAGATCTCTATATTAGATTCGGACACGCAAGTTTCTACGCCGCGTACAGTCGGGAGTTTAAGATTTCCTACAGAGAGTGGAACAAGGTCCGTCCCCTAGCGTTTGCCGTGGCATTGTTGGCAACAATGGTCTTCCCACACGGTCCGAGTTTGAATATCAACACCAGAGTCATAACACTCGTTCACACGGTGTTCAAAGGATACAAAAATGAAGGAACAACAAAATACTACCCCGTAGCTCCAGTCATATTATCTGACATGTATCGGGCCTTGGTTAAGTTCAAAGAAGGACACCGATATTTCCAAGGGTGTAATCTTCTCCTCCAGTGGTGGATTCTCAGCCATTTGGCGAAGGGTGCTGGGACTCGAGAATTACACGTCCTCGACAACAAGAACACTCTCAAGGACTTAAACGATTTACTATCTGGGAAAACATGGACAATCGGAGAACAAGAGGGAGATGGGCCCAAATTTTCTCCGAATTGAGAGAAGAGGACCTCCAATTGATGCTCGACCGTTTTATATCCAAGGAAGTTGTCGTGGAGAGTCGCAGATGTGTCGTGCTCCCTCTACCAGGCATTCAGGGAATTCGCCCTTACGTGCCTTTTAGAGTCTTGCGACGATTCAGAAGAAAACAAATCGTGCCTAGAGAAGCGTACTATGGCGCTTATGTGTATGACATTGGAGATGACAGAGTGCATGACGCTTCATAAATGCTCAAAGAATGGAAAAACGCCAAGCGCATGGGTAAAGACACTATCGCCCCTGACCTATTCTACGCCGGATATGGCGAAGGTTACAAATAATGTCTGAAGAAGGACATACAAAATATCTCATTTCAGATTCTGCATAGCTTTCGCAGTGTGACAGATAGAGAGGCCAAAGCAGTGGCCGAACTGCAAGAGATAAAGGAAGAGGCCAATGAGGTCTATTCTAAGTTTGTAGAGAATCAGGACACTCTTGAGAGGGCAACTCGAGAGGTCGAAAGACTGAGGCAGGGGTATGACGATTTTGACAACTGGATCCAGCAGAAAATCGAGAGGATGCTATACGAGAGTATTGAAGACAAAGGACGTCTGGGTGAAGGTTTTCTACTGATGCTGAGGTATATGTTTCAGCAACACAAAATCTAGATAGACGACGGTGGAGCACGATCAACCGGAGCAATATAGTGGACATCACCCCTGCGTGGGTTTTCTTTACTTGTATGTACACTACTTTAGCCCCTGCGTGGGCCTGATTTTATTGCACTTTCTAATGGCCCCTGCGTGGGTCTGTCTTTATGTCTATTTCCTTTTTTCGAACATTTTATTCATTATTTTGGGGGGAGTTGACATGACCACGTCAATCTACAAAGCTGCAGCCGTGACATTGGATGAAGATCTGGCGTCGCAGGTAAAAAGAAAGAAAGAGGTTGAGATGGAAACCGAAAGCTTAAGAAAAAGGTTGAACATGCTTCGTTTGGAGGTGCACGAAGGAAAAGCGAGAGAGGCGAAAATAGATGTTAAGACTGCCGTACTGTTGGCAAAAAATGCGTCACTCGATGAGGAATTGACGACCCGTAGCAACTTAAAGGGCGGAAAATACCTCGCTCGTGACCAGGGAGCAGATAACAATGGCCCTGACAATGAATTAATTGAGGAGGACGATGAGGAGGAAATCGTCTACAAGCCTCCATTTTCGATTGTCTGAAAGTAATGGAGTGACGCAACAATAAGGGGGGAAATCACCGAAATGTTGTTGTCATCATCTAGGAATTTCAATGTTGTCTTTTAATTTCCTTGTAATCGCAATGAAAGAATGAGTGAAAATATTTCATCCTAAACTCGAACTATGTTGGGCCTGAATTCTCCTTGTGAGATACGTAGGCAGCCTTTCCCGGCCCGGACCCTATCGCTGAAAATTTTTGTTCTCCTCCGTGTTACGAAGATATGAAGATAATATCAACGGGCATCGAAAAGCAGCTGCAAGAAGACCATAGCTCAACGTGATTCAGCCTTCCCCAAGATAGTGTCGAACAAGCAAATTCCTGTTTATTTAAGAAATATATTCCCGTCCTCATTCGTGGGTTAAAATGTCCTCAAACAAAGTGACTTGTGTTTTTATTTGCTTCTGTGTGATATTATGCATTTTGTACTCCGAACATGCACTAACAAATTTGCCTTTGAGTTGTTTCGCTTCTCAGGTACCTTTAACTGATCTGAGTCATAAAAGCTGGCAGATCATCACTACTTCACAAGATCAAAAGGTCCTACAGATTCCTTCCCCGGACCAAACTCAGACAGAGAGAATACACCTATGGGAAACAATAACGACGAGGTAAGTCTCACAGACGTTGTGGTGGCTCAGCCCACCGTGGCAGAACAAAATTAAGTAATTGCGCAACTGATGCAGCAGATAGCTGATATGAGGGTCGAGATGCAGCGAAGGCAGGACATGCCTTCACCCGGATAGGGCCCTAATTTTGTTGACGCAAGACCTCCGATGTACTTTCCCTCGTCCAACTTGGATCCAACTCAGAACCAGCCGTCAACACCCGTGCATAACTCGTCTGGGATAGATTTAACAGCCCAAAACCCTCAGTATGCTTCCGTATCTTATCAAACACCCTCACCGCTTCCAAATAACCCTTCTCAAATGCCACCACACCCCCAGAATACTCAAACAGCCCCACTACCTCAGAATCAAAATCAGAATCCAACCGCCTTCAACCCCCAAACACCACATCCCCACTTAACCCAAAACACCAATCCTCAAAACTACCCACAAAACTACCAAATTCCACAAAACGTCCCGAGCCCTTCTATAGCTCCACCCCTCCAAAAAAGAACCACATTCCAAGTCCCCGTTTCGGCCGAGCATGAGGTGCACGATTCCGAGTTGGATCATTACGAGGAGCAGGAGAGAGAGTGGAAGGCAAGGGAAGAAGAAAAGATCGACATAAATGAGAAGATTAAAAGGGCAATGAAAGAGTTGCAATGTGTTCCAGACGTCGCCGGTTTGAGCTATGCAGAATTGTGTATCCACCCAGACTTGAACCTTCTTGAAGGGTTCAAAATCCCGAAGCTTGATACCTTCGGAGGGGTAGGCAACCCCATGGCGCATTTGAGAGCGTACTGTGACCAACTCGTGGGAGTCGGAAAAAATGAGGCTTACTGATGAGGTTGTTCAGCCGGAGTCTGTGCGGGGAGGCCCTAGAATGGTTTACGTCACATGAGACCAGGCAGTGGCCCAGTTGGAGCGCGCTAGCTAAAGACTTCATTGATCGATTCGCGTACAATGTCGAGATAGTCCCTGATCGGTACTCCTTAGAGAAAATGAAGCAGAAATTGACGGAAAGTGATCGGGAATTTGCCTACAGATGGAGAAAAGAGGCAGCGAAAGTGAGGCCTCCGATGACTGAAAAGGAGATTGTAGAAGTGTTCGTACGGGTGCAAGAGACCGAATACTATGACAAAATCATTTTATTAATCGGAGCCAAATTCGCCGAGATAGTCAAAGTTGGTGAGACTATCGAAGACGGCATGAAGTCGGGAAAGATAGCCCGAGTATCCGCATCGCCTGGATCTTCTGGAATGATGAGAAAAAAGAGAGACGAGGTTGCCGTTGTATCATACGGGGGGGAGGAAAATCCCCAGAAACTCATCGCGTCCTCAAGACCGCTCCAAGCCTCCACCAAAGTCTCACCAATCCTATCGTCCACAATCCAATCATTCCAGCGACTACAATGCTGCCCCCACTTATCCAGATGCCCAAATTTTATCGTAACAAAATCCACCCCCAAATCTCCAAAATTTTCCCTCCATGTACCCAAATTTCCCCCAAGCTTATCAAATTTCACCCCTTATCAGAATATCGCTCCCAACTGTGCCAACGTACAGTCGAGCTATCGAGCACCTTCCCCCTCATATCAAGTCCAAGATCCAGCATATCAAAGCCCCCTCCCAAATTACCAAGCTCCAGTTCCAAATTACCAGACAAACCCTTACCCTAGAACCCAAGCTCCTCGCCCAAATGCTCGCAATTATCAACAGGTTCCTCCCCCTCAGCAAAGCGGGTATGATCTTCTCGTCCCAGGTCTGAGAAGAGGCCCTCGAGAAACTTTACCGTGCTGGATGAAAGCCGGACCAAGCTATTCGAAAGATTATCCACGGCCGGATACATCCACCCTGTGGGGCCCAAGCCCGTGGATGTCAACTCTAAGTTCTACAAACCGGAGCAGAGATGTGCTTATCATTCCAACAGTGTTGGACATGATACAGAAGACTGTATCAATCTTAAGCACAAGATCCAGGATCTGATTGACCAAGAAGTAGTCTCCCTCCAGTCTGGCGCCTAACGTCAATACAAATCCGTTTATGAATCATGGGAGTGGAAACATCTACATGATAGAAACAGACGAAGATGAGCGTGAAACCAAGAGGATTACTCCTGTTGCGCAGGAAGACTAGGAAAAGGTTGTCGCTTCTTTAAGCGTCAAGGAAAAAGGAGAGTTCGTTATTCTGACACCTACGAAGGCTGTTGCCTTGGTGCCCTCCAAAACTCTCGCCAAACCCAAGTTTGTCATAGAAACGGCCGTGGCCCAAGGAATGACAAGATCCGGAAGATGTTACACTCCTGATGAGCTTTCTTTCGGAGGACAAAAGAAAGACGATGCCAAGAGACCAATAAGTGAAGCAGAAGCCGAGGAGTTCTGGAGGAGAATGCAGCCTAAAGATTACTCCATTGTCAAACACTTGGAGAAGACTCCGGCTCAGATTTCTGTGTGGGCCGTACTGATGAGCTCCTGGTCCCACAGACAGGCTTTGATGAAAGCCCTGGATGACACGTACGCGCCCTCAGGTACAAGCAACGATAACGTAGCTTCCATGATTTATCAGGTCATTTGGGGACACCGCATCAGCTTCTGCGATGATGAATTGCCAGCCTAAGGGAGATCCCATAACAAAGCTCTACACGTCACTGTGATATGCCGCGAAAGATCGTCAATCGTGTTCTGGTAGACGATGGATCTGGTTTGAACATATGCCCCTTGTCAATATTGAAACAGCTGAGGTTTGACCTCAGAAAATTGGAGCAAAACCAGGTTAATGTAAGAGCCTTTGATGGTGTGCAAAGAGACACATTAGGGGCGGTGAACTTGACCCTCCAAATGGGCCCCACGGAGTTCGACGCAAAGTTCCAAGTGTTGGACATCGACACCAGCTATAACCTTTTTCTGGGAAGTCCATTCATTCACATGGATGGAGTCGTCCCCTCCACTCTCCACCAAATAATGAAGCTGGTATGAAAAAATGAGGAGCTAGTTATTCACGGTGAAAGAAGCCACTCAGGCAAGCAGATGCCGGTCTTTGACGAGATGCCGCAAGGTTCGGATTTTTACACGGTGGAGTTGGTAAATGCCACCGATGAGGATTTGGCCCCGCAGACCCCATACCGGCCGGGTAAAGAATGATCGCCACGGTAATGCTGCAGAATGGGTTCGAACCAGGTTTCGGATTGGGAAGAAATTCCCAAGGGATTATCGAGCCAGTTCGGTCCTTGATAAAGGATCAAAATATGGTTTGGGGTATATCCCCACAGATGACGATGTGAAGATGAAGAAGAAAAAGGATCAATATTTGGCTAAACCAATCACGCATCTGTATCAATCATTTCCAGTTCGAGAGTATGCCGAGTCTGAAGACTGTGGGGAAGGAATCTGTGACCTTTTCAAGGATATCAATGCTATCATCGAGGAGAAGGTCGAGCCCGCTGGTATTCGTGATGCTGAACCAGGGGAGATGCTGCAGAATTGGACTTCCGCGCTGATCCTGATGTCCCAAACTCTTTGGTAGAAAAGAGTAATTTTATGCATACTAAAATCGGTGGTTGTCTGGAAGAGGCCCGAGACCCATCATTTCCGCATTTTTATTAATTGTTTGAGTTTTGAATTTTCGTTATGATGTTTAAAAAGCTACATGGCCCTGTGCCATGACCAAAGTTTGCATTTTGTTTTAAATGAAAGCCTCTTTATTTTTAACTTTGTTTAGTTAGTTGCTTGTTACACTTTACTTTCCTAATTTTGTCTGTTTATGATTTTAGTAACATAAGTTATAGAGTTGCCAATGTCATGTCATGTCATGAGCTAAATGAACCAAATGAGACAGATGACGACAAGGTTGACGACTATGAAGAAGAAAATGGGGAACCAGATTATGTTGCAGAAGAATTTCCACAGTTCGAAAATCAGCATAAACCAAATTTGGAGGAGACAGAAACAGTGAATTTGGGAGACTCAGAATGTGTCAAAGAGGTTAAGATCAGCACCTACCTGAATGGAACTAAGCAGGAGAGCCTGATTCATTTGCTTGCCGAGTATAGTGATGTGTTTGTTTGGGAAGTCAATGATATGCAGGGGTTGAGTACTGATGTCGTGTCTCATAAGTTACAAATCAACCCAGGGTTCGAGCCTGTGAAACAAAAGACTCGGAAATTCAAGTCTGAACTGAGTTTGAAGATCAAGGAAGAAATCACCAAGCATATAGAGTCTCGATTGCTGGAAGTAATGCAATATCCAACCTGGTTGGCCAATGTCGTTCCGGTCGCCAAAAAGGATGGAAAAATCAGGATTTGTGTTGATTATAGAGACCTCAACAAGGCTAGTCTAAAGGATAATTTTCCATTGCCGAATATCCATATTTTTATTGACAATTGTGCCAAACATGAGATGCAGTCATTTGTGGACTGTTACGCAGGTTATCACCAAATTTTGATGGATGAAGAAGACGCGGAAAAAACGGCATTCATTACGCCTTCGGGTGTATATCACTACAGGGTGATGCCGTTCGACCTCAAGAACGCCGGTGCCACTTACATGAGAGCCACGATGACTATTTTTCATGACATGATTCACAAGGAAATTGAAGTATACATGGACGACGTAATAATCAAATCCCGCGAGAGTTCGGATCATTTGACACACCTGAGAAAATTCTTTGAACGTTTGCGTCGGCACAACTTGAAGCTAAATCCCGCCAAATGCACTTTTGGAGTCCCAGTTGGGAAGTTGTTGGGGTTTATAATCAGCAGAAGAGGTATTGATCTTGAACCCTCCAAGATTAAAGCAATTCAAGGGTTACCTCCGCCGAAGATGAGAAAAGAGGTGATGAGTTTCATAGGGAGGTTAAGTTATATCAGCCGGTTTATAGCACAATCAACAGTGGTGTGCGAGCCTATTTTCAAGTTGCTGAAGAAAGACGCCCCAACTAAGTGGACTGAGGAATGCCAAACTGCTTTCGATGCTATCAAGAGCTATTTGTCTAACCCACCGGTATTGGTTCCTCCGCGAGAACGAAGTCCTTTGCTGCTGTATTTGTCTGTCTTAGATAGTGCCTTTGGATGTGTACTTGGTCAACGCGACGAAATAGGAAAGAAGGAAAAGGCTATCTACTACATAAGCAAGAAATTTACTCCGTACGAGTCTCGGTAAACTTTGGTGGAGAGAACATGCTGTGCTCTGACATGGCTCGCCCAAAAATTGAGACACTACTTGTCTTCGTATACTACATATCTCATTTACAGAATGGATCCACTAAAGTACATTTTCCAGAAAGCGATGCCGACTGGAAAGTTAGCTAAATGGCAAATGTTGTTGAGTGAGTTTGATATCGTGTATGTGACTCAGAAGGCAATAAAGGCACAAGCTTTGGCTGATCATCTTGCAGAAAATCCCGTTGACGAAGAATATGAACCACTTAAGACGTATTTTCACGATGAAGAAGTGAAATTTGTGGGTGAAGATATTTCTGAAGCGTATCCATGTTGGAGATTATTCTTTGACTGAGCAGCAAATCACCAAGGTAAAGGTATTGGAGCAGTCTTAGTATCGGAATCTGGTCAGCACTATCCTATGGCCGCCAAACTACGATTCAATTGAACAAACAACATGGCTGAATACAAAGCTTGTATTCTTGGTTTAAAAATCGCCATTGACATGAATGTTTACGAGTTACTGGTTATTGGAGACTCAGACCTTTTGATTCATCAGGTTCAAGGTGAATGGGCTGTGAAGAACCCGAAAATTATACCTTACGTACAATATGTGCAAAATCTGTGTAAATGGTTTTGCAAGATCGAGTTCAAACATACTCCCAGAATACTTAATGAATTAGCTGATG